TTATTTATTTATTTTTAATATTTTATTTTTATTTTATTTTTTGTGTTTAAAAAACAAGATAAAATAAAAAATTATAGTCAAGGCAAAACCATAATCCACATCCCCATTTTTCAACGGGATGGGATAGGCCGGAACATTTTGTCACATGTATGTCATGTATGCACGTTGGGGAGTAGGGACGGGCTAAAATATTTTGCAAACCCTATGTCATGTATGCATTACAAGATTATGCAATCGAAATCAATATATCTATCCAATGTATTTGTATTAATCCGTTAATAATCGCTTAACTTGGATGGGGAGAATAAAAATTAAAATAATGAAATTTATTGACCACATCAATAAGACTCTAGTAAAATAAATTAGACAATATTAAAAATTTCAGAAAGAAAATAAATTAAAATCTTAATTCTTTTTAGCGCACAAAAAAATTTAGTTCCACTGATAGACCTACAAAGTAGTAGTGTTACAATCGAAAGTCGGTCTCATTTAACGCTATTTTTGTCAACTTGCCAAGACTCGGATATTTTTCGTGAATTGGGCCCTAAACCTGGTTCCATAAAAAGCCCAGCACCTCAAAAATCAATATTCAACAATTCACAGAATCAGAAATTAGGGCTTATTATTTGTTTCACTTCACTTCCTGGTTCACACATTCGGATTCAGAGGTACGTGATTTGTCCTCCGTTTTTCTGGTGAATTCATTTATTTTTTTGGCTTTATATGCTAACAGAAAAAATTGAAAAGATTTTTCGTACAGTATTATGTTCTTTACTCTGTGTTCTTGTAACTTTTTTTTTTTTGCCTATGTGAATGAATCAAATGCCGTAAATTAGACATGAAAATTGATTTCAAACTGCCCCTGAAGCTAAATTTGTTGCCCTTATTTTAAAGTTACATGGTTCAATACAATTCATTCTTATATGAAGGGGCACGTTGCTTTTCGTTTCTTGTTAAGAAAGGCACTCTGCTAACAGATAAGTGATGCCGGAGGCTTTCTTTCTTTTTCTATTTTTTATCCCATGATTTTTTGGGAAGTATGCATAAACTTGCTAATTATTTGTATTTTATTGGTTAAGATATTTGTCGTCTGCTAATTTAGCAAGTCATGACTTGGGTGTTTATGGTTGTCGATGCAAAATTAGTCGTACTTAGGATCTTTTATTATCAGCTGTAATACATCAGGTTTCTAAATGCCTAAAACATCATTCTTTCATCATGTAGTTTAGTAGTTGTGCATGGAATATAGCATATTTGAGTTTAAGTTGTTTTGTTATGAAATATTAGGCAAATCTCCTTGAGAATGAATTGCCATATGTAATAGAAGGACCTTCTTGAATTCTCAATATTAGTTCCATTCTCATCAATCAAATTGCTTAGATAATTAAATTGTTGAATACTGAATACACAATTATCTGCAATGAGCATTGTGAAAAATCGACTTTGCAATCGGACTGGGATTGATGGATGAATGATGACTTAGTTGTGTATCTTGAAAAAGATGTATTTGAAATTGATAATGGGGTTATTATATGGTATTTTTAAAGTATGAAAGGCTGTTGGGAAAAATTATTACATTTTTAATATTATCATTACTGTCTTATTTGAAATTGGTTAGCTCTTCTCCTAATCCTTTATGATTGAATTTCCTGGAAATTACTCTTGCCTAGATGCTTATGAAACTTAAATTGGTTAATTATTTATATTGTATCTTGATTCTTTATTTCTTTTCCATCTACTTATTTGCAGATGGCTAGATGGGACGAGATTCTTTCACTCCCTGTACAGAACCCTCCATCTCTGGAGTTCTCTTCCAGTGATCTTGTGTGGTCTAAGGTGGAAGGTTGGCATGACAATATAGACAGACTTGCTCTCATCCCATTCACCCGGGTAGATGATTTTGTTAGGGGGGAATCAAACAATAAACATTGCCCGACTAGATTCCACGTTGAAGTTAGGAGGAGACGGCCAACCAAGATGACTTACAAGCCTAAAGGCGATGGAATTCTCGAATATATATTGTAAGCTCAATAGTCTTCTCATTAATAAAACTGGCGACCATCTGCTTTATAACCATTGGATTGATTCAGTGAATTAATTGCACTGATTCTATAGGTACTGGTGTTCGTTTGGTCCAGATGATCATAGAAAAGGTGGTATTGTACGACCTCTGTGGCACTTATTATATACAATCAAGATAAGCATGTGGATAAGCAGGGGTTGCCATGCCATGGCCCACAGGACAAGAAGGCTGCCGGAACGCGTGCTATGTATGCTCCATACATTTCAGAGGATCTCCGCCTCCGTGTCTTATCTCTCCTTTATGTTGGGGTCTCTGTAGAAACCATCATGCAGAGACACAATGAATCAGTGGAGAGACAAGGAGGTCCTTCTAACCGAGATGACCTTTTGACCCATAGATATGTTCGTCGACAGGAGAGGAGTATTCGAAGATCTACATATGAACTAGATGCAGATGATGCTGTCAGCATTAGCATGTGGGTTGAAAGCCACCAAAGTCTTGTTTTCTTTTACGAAGATTTCTCTGATTCTGAACCTTTTGTCCTGGGCATTCAAACAGAGTGGCAGTTGCAGCAGCTGATCCGGTTTGGAAATCTAAGACTCATGGCCTCAGATTCAAAGTTTGGGTCAAATAAGCTGAAGGATTGCTCCATTTTTCTTAAATTTGTTTTTCA